GGGTGTGTCTTTTCCAACAAACTAAAAATGGCTCGCGCACAAAATTTAAAAGCTGCAATCATATTTTGAGTTAACAGATGGAAACTTTGTCGGGATTTTAATTACTGTACAAAATTTCAGACAATTTGGTTTAGTTTAAGCCCCCTTAACTATTCACGCAAAGTTACAATTTTCCGAAAAATCAGCTATTTGCATGCTTAATTAATGCATTTGCCTAATTTGCATATGTCAGCAATATGCAAATTAGGTAAAGGCGTTAATTAAGCATGCGAAAGGCTGACTTTTTAGATCAAAATGAATAGTTAAAGGGCTTAAACTAAACCAAATTCTCTGAAATTTTGTGCAGTAACTAAAAACCCGACAAATTTTCAATCTATTAACTCAAAATATGATTACAGGCTACAGCTTTTAAATTTTGTGCGCGAGCCATTTTTAGTTTGTTGGGAAAGACACACACCCCCTGGTTCACAGAATTTGAGTTCGAGAAATTTTTTTCATTATTTTACATTAGAAGTACCCAAAGAAGCTATATATATATATATATATAAAACCAGATACAAATAGGTGTTTTGCGAAATTGAGAGCAATTTCAAATCTGTTCAGTTTTTTTTTATACACCCTGTATATATATATATATAGGTCTTCTATTTTGTGGCTTTAAAGTTTACCCGGCTTCTGGCCTATCAAGTGCCGTGCCGATCAGATTTGGACGTACGTTGACAATTGGTAATTTTGATAATTTTTTGAAATCTAATTCGAAATTGTCTGACCAGAATCCAGTCCGACCCGAGTTTGTTAAAGCGTTCCAATTCGATCCGAAAAATTAATCGGACACTGTTACTATATTCTTGTCAAGTTTTCCACTTTAACCTCCCCGAGTTTTTAAACATTATGCTGGAACGAATTCAGAAACGAGCGTTCAATATCGTATATGGTTACGATGTACCTCAATTCTGAAGCGTTGGTAATGTCGAAACTGCATAAACTTTCCGATCATCGTAGTCCTCTTTGTGATGAATTTTTCAACAAAATTGTAATGAACCCAAATGATAAAGTTAAGGAACAAAAGAAATTTCACTATACCTATATGTAAAACGGACCG